AAGTTTTCAGCAATTATTTCTTCAAAGAGACTTTCTATCCCTTTTCCTTTCTCTTCTTCTTCTGGTACCCCTATAGTGTGAATATTGTTCCATTTGGATTGGTCGCACATTTCTCTTGTTCTTTCATTCCTAGAGATCCTTTTTTCTCTCTGTGCCTCTGCTTTTTTTGTTTTCCTCTTCTCTAATTTCTGTTTCATTTATCATCTCTTCTACCTCACCTAACCTACTTTTAAATCCCTTCATTGTATTTTTTCATTTCAGATAGTGTATTTTTCAAAGTTCCTATCTCTTTCTTGAAATCCTGAGAACTTGAATATTTTTCTGTAGCTCCATGAGCGTGTTTATGATTTTTATTTTGAAATCTTTATCAAGAAGACTGGTGATTTTAGTTTCCCTTAGCCCTCTTCCTGCTGTATTTTTTGTACAAGTTTTTTTTTTTTGTCATTGCATTTTGTTTAGTGATTCCTATGGAATAACTATAGGCAGCACCCTCTAGTGCCCAGAAGCTCTACTCTCTGGAGCTGCTGAGCATCTGTAGCCATGGTGGGGGTTGCAGGCGAACAGAACCAGAGCCTGCCGGGAAGAAAGAGCTCTTTCCTGCTTCCTGGCTGAAGTGCCTGCCTCCACTGCCCAGTCCAGTAGGCTCTGCACATGGAGGAGCCTCTGTGCTATGTCCTGGGAGCTGCCATAGGCAGGGCTAACCTCTGAATGGCCTGGTGAGATGGCTCAGGTAGCAGGTGTGGACGGGTGCCTGCCGGGAGGAAGGAGTGGCAGGCTGTGTATCACAGTGGGAGCCTTGGGGCTGTGTTGCCAGTCAGCGGGATGAACTGTCTGAAGCTGAGAGTTCCCAACTTGCTGGGCTGAGTGTGCTGGGCTGATTTTTCTCCACCTGCCCTTTCTCCTGAGTAGTGGGCTCTGTGCAATCTTTGCCCCTTTAGCACCTCTCTTGTTGTTGGGAAGTCTTTCAAGTGTCCACCTTTCTTTTGCTAGGGGGCCAGTTGTGTGTACCTGTTCTCCACAAGTGGCTGCAATCTCAGTGTGAGTATTCTGCCTGTCTTTGCTTTCCAATCCCACTAATCTCCAGAGCACCATGTAATGTGGGCTTGTGCTCCTGGAGTAGATCTCCAGGGCTGTGTGTTTAATAGTCCTTGGCTTTTACTCCCTCCCTGCTCCATTTCTCCTCCTCCCACTTGTGAGCTGGGTTGGGAGTAGGACTTTGGTCCCACTAGATCATGGCTTTCCTGCTTCACCCTTTTCTGTGAGGTCTTCTCTTTTCCTCAGATGTAGGCAGTCTGTTCTGCAGTCTTTGGTTTGCTCTTTCAAGATTAGTTGTAGTCAATGTATTTTCATGTTATATGTGGTTTTAGGAGGAGGATTCTGCCTAACTTCTCACGTCACCATCTTTTCCCCATTTCCTTCAGAGCAGAAGCCCAGGAGTTGACACCTCTCCAGGAGCTTGAAGAGGTACTCACAATCGGTATCCTTGTCTTGTTCCTGATCTTAGGGGAAAAGCTTGTATCTTTTCAACACTGAGGCTGATGTTAGAAGGGGGTTTTTCATTTATGGCCTTTATCATGTTGAGGTATGTTCCTTTTATACCACTTTGCTGAATCTTTATCATAAAAATCTCTCATAAAAATTGAATTTTGTCAAATGCTTTTTCTGCATCTATTGAAATGATCATGTGATTTTTTTCTTTCATTTTGTTAATGTGTATATCACATTGATTTGTGAATGTTGAACCATCTATGCATCCCTGGAATAAATCCCACTTGGTTATCGTATATGGTCCTTTTAATGTATTGTTGAATTCGGTTTGCTAATGTTTGTGGAGGGTTTTTGCATCTGTGCTTATCAGGAATATTGGCCTCATGAGTTTGGAAGTGTTCGTTCTTCTATTTTTGGAAAAGTTTGAGAACGACTTATATTAATTCTTCATTCTGGTCTTGGACTTTTGTTTCTTGGGTATTTGATTATTGATTCAATCTCCTTACTAGTTATCAGTTTGTTCTGATTTTCTGTTTCTTAATGATTCAGCCGTGGTAGGTTGCACGTTTCTCAGAATTCATCCATCTCTTCTAGGTTGTCAAATTTGTTGGCATATAATTGTTCATAGCAGTCTCTTATGATCCTTTGAATATTTAAGGTATCAATTGTAATGTCTCTTCATTTCTGATGTGAGTCCTCTTTTTTCTTGGTGAGTCTAGCTAGAGTTCTCAATTTTGCTTCTTTTAAAAAACCAGCTTAGTTTCATTAATCTTTTTTCTTTTTAATCTCTATTTCACTTATTTCTGCTCTGATCTTTATTTCCTTCTTTTTCCTAACTTTAGTCTTCCTCTAGTTCCTCAAGATGTAAAGTTGGGTGGTTTTAGATTTTCCCTATGAATTTCCTGCTTAGAACTGCTTTTGCTACATTCTGTAAGTTTTAGTATGTTTTATTTCCACTTTTATTTGTCTCAAGGTACTTTCTGATTCCTCCTTTGATCCATTGTTCAGTAACATGTTGATAAATACGCACACATTGGTGTGTTTCCCAGTTTTCTTCTTGTAACTGATTTCCAGTTTCACGCCACTGTGGCTTGAAAAGATGATTTCAATCTTTGTAAATTTATTGACTTGTTTTGTGGCCTGCCATATGATCTTTCCTGCAGAATGGTCCTTGTGTTCTTGAGAATAACATGTATTCTGTTGCTTTTGGATGGAATATTCTTTATGTATTTGTTAAGTCCCTCCGGTCTAATGTACCCTTTAAGGCCAATGTTTATTTTGTTTGAATGACCTATTCATTGATGTAAATGGGGTATTAAAGTTCCCATTATCATATTGCTATTTTTTCCTTTAGTTCTGTTAATACTTGCTTTATATATTTAGGTGCTCCTATGTTGGGTGCATATTTACAAATAGACCCTCTTGTTGGATAATCCTTTTTTCTATGAAGATCTCACATATCTTTTGTTGGGTTTATCCCTAGTACCTTAAGACTTCTGATATGAGTATAAATGGGATCCTTTTAAGAATTATTTTCTAGTTATTGACTATATACAGGAACGTTTTGTATCTGATTGTGCAGCTAACTACCTTGATAGATTTTCTTAGTCATCTCTGGTTATTTTTCTTTTCTTGCAGCATACTGGGTAGGATCACCAGTATAACAATGAACAGAAAAAGGGGTAGTAGGATCCTTACCTTGTTCTGATTTTAAAAGAAATACTGCATATTTTACTATTAAGAATGATGTTGCATAGGACTTTGGAAGGTAACCTTTATCAGATTGTTATTGATTTCTATTTAAAAGTTTTTTTTCCAAATTATTAATGGATGTTGCATTTTTAGCAAAGGCCTTTCTGACTACAGGTGACTATATGGTGTTCTCCCTTTAATCTGTTAATGTGGTGTATTCAGGAGAGGCTGGGCCATGTTGTGAAAATGTATGAACACTAAAATCTCAGTAGCTTTTATTCAAGTAAAATCCAGTGCGGGACAGGGGCAGGGGGTGGGAGGAGTGTCCCTCACTTGGGATTCTGCCATCTCAACACATGGAATCTGTGTGTGTCATGGCAGGGAAACTGGGGGTGGCATATGTGTTCCTAAGCCCCCAGACCAAAGCAACATGTATTTCAAAGGGCTGGGAAGCAGTCTCCTCTGTGCCCAGGAAGGAAGGGTGCAGCAGAAGGGGACACCCAAATAAGGGTTTAGCATATGGATCCAGTACCTTCACCAACTTTCTGATGCTATTCCATCCTTGCAGGGTAAGCCCGACTAGGTCAGGGAGCACTGATTTTTATGCATTGCTGGTTTGGGGTTGCTGAGATTTTAGAAGTTTCGCATCAGTATGTGCCTACAATTTTCATGTCCTGTCCTCGTCTGGATTTGCTGTCAAGGTTGTATCCCACTCACAAAGTGAATTGAGACGTGTTTCCCCTTCTGTTCGGCTTCTCTGGACCTGATGTTTGTGAGGGGATTTCAAATCAGATTTAACTTCTGTAATGTCAAGTACCTCTTTGTAGCATCGATTATGGCTGTAATATTTCACTGTGCCATTTCTCAGTTGAGGGCACCAAGTGACGCAAAGGGCTTGGTACCCAAACACGCTCGGTAAGTAATGATGCTGGTGACAGCTCTCCAAACCGTGCCAGGTATTAACTCGCTGAGCATTCACAGACCTTACGAGGGAGAAGCTGTTACTATCACCCCCTTGCTTCCAGATAGAGAAATGGGAACAAAGAAGAGGCCCCTTCTGGGCTAGGACTAGAACCCCTGTTAGCCAAGAGCCAGATTTCTCCAGGGTGTCCCCAACTAAGGCAGGGCTAGAATGACTGGGACCCTGCCCTACCAAGTACCTCCATGTGTCCTGGTGGGGTGATGGACACAGGAGTGATGGTCAAAATGCATGCACAGGGCCTGTCACCTCCGAGTCACCTGCACAGAGCTTGGGGCCAGTTCAGGCTGGTTCTTGGCACTTTCAGCTGGTGGGGCAGATGGGAGTGAAGGACTCCGGAGGTACTAGTCTTTCTCTGGGACACTGAAGGCAGGGCTGCTTGACCAGCATGTGAGATGGCCCTGGGAGGACAGAGGACAGTGCATTGCAAATGAGCCCAGTGTCCCTCCTGAGTGGAGCCAGCCTGCCTTGGGCGGAGCCCACAGGGGCGTGCTGCTTCCTGTGGACTAGGCAGCTGGGCTCCAGCTTGGTGCACTGCCTCATGGCAGGAGAGGATGGAATTTTGCAAAAGGCGTATTTTCAAGAACAGCACCTCAGAGGCTTTGAAAAGCAGCTTTAGCTACCCAGGCAGCCCGAGTTCCACCCTAGAAATGTCAGTTTTTACCAGGATGTTGAGGTGGAAGGCAGCATAGCTTTGTGCTTTCACTCACTTCTAGGGCAGGAGCTGGTGCCATTCATGCCACTGCCAGCAGCAGCACGCGGGCCCGCACCCTGAGTGTGCAGGAGCCCTGCCTCCTGGGCGCCATGAAGAGGCAGCTCGGACTGCCATTTGACACGCGGCCACAGCTTTTATCTGTTTATTTTCTTTCATATAAAAGTTACAGGTTTGAAATGTCTGCAGGAAGATGCCACTATCAGGTTGGTTAGTCGGGGGATATATTACAACATAACACTGGGGAAGCTGGGCAGCAGCGGGTTCAGCGCAGACGTCTGCCGGCCTGTCCTTTCCCCGGCTCCACCCCCAGCTGCAGGGAGCCAGGTGGCCCTGATGGGCGGGCCCATCTAAAGCTCCATTCCCGCACCTGCCCCCAAGGCTGACAAAGCACAGCCAGGCTGCAGTGGCTCACGTCTGACAACTCCCTGAGCCACGGTGTCACGAGGTGCAGAGTGGGAAAAGCCTGTCAGCCAATAAGTTAACCACACATTGCACTTGCTGTCCTCATGCAGTGCCCCCTGCACCGCCTGCCTGGCGTGTCTGCTCAGACCCCACTGGGGGTCCCGGAGGGAAGAGCTGAGTCCTGGTACAGCTCCTGTCCCAACCCTGCGTCGTTCTTGTGAACAGACGCACAGACACGCATCCATCCGCTACCAGGTATGAGCAGCTGGGTTTCTGAGGCTGACACACGGCGCATGTGCCTGGGCCTCTATAGAGAGGAGACCCTAGGTGCTGCTGTCCACAGTCCTGCGTGCACACAGAGCATCCAGGAGCTGGGCCAAGGCGCGAGGGAAGATGAGGAGGAAGGGGAAAAGGCTGAAATGAGAGGACTTCAGGAAGCGGGTACGAACCACACCCCCCCACACGGTACTGTTCATCACAGCGACCACACACACTCTCTTAAATAATAAAGTGATACGACCTGCCCGCCGCCAGCAGAACCACTGCCCGAGGATGGTCACTGACATGTCACAGATTCCCCCCTCTATGTACAGGACAACAAAAGAGGAAAAAAAAACCCAAAATTTTCTTCATGATAAAAGCTGCTCAAAACCCATGAAGGACTCAAAGTGACATGGTTGTTTCTTTAGGAAAAATCTAATCAACAGCTGTTCCTTTCTGCTTTTTCTTGCTCTGTTTACACATATCCTGGTGTTTGGCCACCCAAACCCAGGAGAAGCGAGCACTCCATCAGGCAAAACAGGCATGGGTGTAGCTGTCCCGACTCTGCCAGGTCCTCGCCCACCTTGAGTGGCACGGAGCCCAGCCCCTCAGTGTGCTGAGCCCCCCACCGCAGACCTGGCCTCAGACTGTCAAGCGCAGCAGCGAGAGTGGCTCTGGACAAGGAGGCTGGAAGGCCACCTTCTCCTGAAGATGCTTCTCATAGGAGGAAGCAAGCCTGCAGGGTGGGCAGGGGAGGGGTGGGCCAGACCCGTGCCCTCAGGGTGGTCCCGCCCTTTCAGGGGGACAGCTGTGGCTGTGGCACTGGCAGGTCTGCTGGGCTAGAGGTGGGGCCCTGTGGGCCCCACTGGGACAGAGCAAGGCAGGAAGGCAGCTACAGATGGGGGGAGCGGAGTCGGTGTTTAAGGCACACAGCAAGTGACAAAGGAGGCTGCCGGGCTCATCCAGACCGAAAGGCCCCCCGCTCCCCCCTCTCTGAGAGCTGTGGGCCCAGCGCAGGTTCATCGCGGCTCTCGGATGGTAAAGCCCCGGCTTGCTCTACCCTCTCCCTCCCAGCTCCACATGGTGCCCAATGCCGGGGAGGGCCAGTACCGTGACAGGAGCGCCAGCTCCAGGGTGCTGGGGGGCCGTCGGTCGTACCTTTCCAGGCCAGGTAAAACGCTTACCCCAGCCTCCATTTAAAAAGCAGGACCTGGGAAGCCAGAGGAGCCCCCGGGGCATATGGATTTCTGCCCACCCAGCTAATGTCCCCTTCACCCCAGGTCACTGGGAGTGCAGCCCCTCCTGGGTCTTCAGGTCTCCACTCAATTGTCATTTCAGCAGATTCAGAACCCTGGAACCTGGGGAGAGGTGAAGACCCCTGTTCCCAGGCTGTGGGTGGAAGGGGCAAGGGGAAGACAGACGTCAAAGCAGAAACCAAACCCCAAACAGAAAACCACTGGGTCAGAGGTCAGCGTGAGGCCTGCCTGCTGGCTCCACTGTGGGCCCCGGGGGCCACTCCCAGGGAGGAGGGAGGCAGGGAGCTGCCGTGGGCTCCGGGCTCCTGCCCGGTGCCGCGGAGGCCTGGCTGGGCCTGTGGCTCTGAGGCGACGCCTGCAGCCTGCGCCGGGGGCGGGCACCGCGCGCGACAGGTCCGACGTCCCTCACGGCCGCGAGCTGCCCTCCGAGCCTCTCCTGAGCGTTCTCCTGGCTCCCGGCACCTGAGTCTAGGTCTTCTCTTCCCGGTCTGTTTTTCTCCTTGTTATGTTCCTGGGTTTGATTTTCAGAGAGAGTTCCCATAGGGCCTCCTCGGCCAGGTGGTCACTGAAGTCATTGAAGAAGTTTATGATGTCGTCGTTTCTCCGGATGTCATAATGCCTGGTGGGCAGAGGGGGCAGCCAGTGAGCCCGCGTGGCTGAACAGCCCCAGGCAAACTGCCCCTTTCTTTGGCGGGAGAGACACCAGTGCTCAAGAGATGCAGCCACCAGCATGCAGAGTCCGAGCTGGACCCCACAGCTGTGCTCTGTGCCCTGCGGGTCCCCGTGGGCCTGCAGAAGCTGGGAACCCCTCTCCTCTGGCCCCGCCACATGTTGGGCTCATCCTGGGTGGGCTCTGGCCCTGGGCCCGCCCTACTGCCCGTGTGATGTGGCAGGTGAGCACTACGTTGAGCTGGTGTGCACTTTCTCAGGTCCTGACAGACTGTGGGGAGCAGGAGTCCACCCCCCAGTGGTTGTTGGTCACCACCTCAGGGTCCAGGAGCTGAGGGCTCAGAGGTGCCCCCCACCCCCCGGGGCTGCACTCACGCCTGCTGGAAGCACCGCATGCTGTCAAGGATGTTGAACTGCTGCCACCGCTTGGAGAAGTTCACCTTCCCGTCGATGTGGTCAGGGTTCCCCAGGTGAACGAAGGTGAGGTCCTGCAGGATGAGCCCCCTGGGGGACGGAGAAGCCCTCACCGCTCTGTGGAGGGGCCGAGGGCAGCTGCTCTACAGGCGAGCCAGTACCTGACTAGGCCCCGGCCTTTGGGCTGTGCTGAAAACCCACAGCAGGTCTGGGGCATTTGTTTCTTCCAGCGTGAATCCCGACCTGCACACCTCTGGGTCCCTGAGAAAGCAGCTCTGGCTCCTCAGGTGGCGCACTTGTTACAGCGCTGCCGCAGCGTGCCCCAGAGGTGTGCGCTTGCTTAAGTAAAAAGAATATACACGAATGGGGAAAACAAATGCTAAACGGGTGTGGGGGGCACATGGAGATCCTCTGTGAGCAGGTCAGGTAATGGGCTCGTACACAGAGGACACTGAGGACCCAGGCGGAGAGCCCAGCCCAGGGAGAGCCTGCCTGAGGGGCAGAGCGGTCAGTGAGGGCAGAAAGGCCGGGAAGCAAGACTGTCAGGAGCCGTGTCTCTCGGGCAAGGGCAGCCCTAGCCCCTGGGGGTGCTCGGCAAGCCCTCAGCCCCCAGCTGCTGCTGGGTCTCATTGCTCTCTCCGCACACTGCTGGAGCCCACCAGCACAGGGAGGGCTTTCCTAAGTCCTGTAGCCAAGAGACCTGCTCAGCTGTGATTTTCCCACCATGTCTCAAGTTCATGTGACCACAGGATCTTTCTCCATGGAACACCTACTTCATTCCAGGGCCCGCACTTGGGGGACCCTCTCCGAGCCTCTCTAGGCCAAGGGGTCTCAGAGCTTCTCGGGCGACAGCAGGGCCCTGAGGTGGTTGAAATGGGCGCCAAGTTTGAGGACTGCTGCAACACAGTGCAATGCCACTGTGGAGAAGACATGCACGTCTGTGCACGTGTGCGACTCCACACTGCCTGGCAGGCCCAGGAAGGAACGTGGGCTGGGAGCTGGGAAGGACGGAGCTGCTCTCACAGGCCCCTTCTTTTCCGTTTAAATTGTGTAACAAGGAGCATGTTTTACTTTTAAAGTTAAAGTGGAAGCAGAAACATCTTAGTTGGAAACCTTTAAGGGAGGGTTTCTCAGACGGGCAAAGCCCCATGCTGGGGCAGAGGCGCCACTCACAGGTACGGGATGCACGGCGGCTCCACCTCCGACAGGGCGGCCCGGTAGGCCCGGAAGGAAGACGAGCTGTCGATCAGTGTGCAGTACTCAGCCAGGCCCTAGGCAGGGGGGGGCGTCCGTGAGCGCCGACGCAATGCTGGGGCCCAGACCCTCCTTTCTGACCAGCGTAGCCCCGAGCCACTGCCCAGGCCCAAGGGCACCCAGGCATGTGAACCCAGAGCCAGCAGTGGGCCCTGCCTGGGTGACAGGGACACAGGCCTTCTGTGGAGGACTGGCCCGGGGGCTCCTCGTGCCTGCTCAGAACCCCGTCTCTGAGCAACCACTGCCAGTGTGCGTACGGGGCCCGGAGCTCGGCCCCCTGCCCCGTTCTGCCCGCGCTATGGCCCGTGGGCTGCTAAGCCCAGGCTGAGCCCCGTCACCCCAGCTCCCGCCGTCCTTCGCTCCCCACCGCATTCAAGGCAGAGTCACCAGGATGGGCAGGGGACCTTGTGAGCCCATCTGTACAGCGCGTTGTTGTCTAGGGGACTCAGCCAACCCTGCCCCCCGCCGAGACCACCATTTGCCTGCCTCTTTGCCACCTCTCACCCCAGTATGAGAAGTGCTTCCTGCTGCCTTAGGACCTCAGTTCCTGTAGCAGCCAGTGTCCCACTTCTCCACACGCTTTTCTAACTGTCTTTTCATCTCACCCTAAGAGATGCCCCTGAGTGGCCCAGCCAATGTACCCCCTGTGGGCTTTGCCTTCCTCCCCAGGGCATCTCCCATACGAGCGTAGAAGTCCGATCCTTGCTAAGGCCCCCCTACGGCCCTCAGGACCCAGTCGGGCTACTCCCTCTTGACAAGGGCATGCTGGCGTCTGTCCTGCCGCTTGAGGGCACCCGCTCCCACAGGCTCTGCACCTGTTTGCTCCCCTGCACCCCCAGCAGGAACTCCCCTCCCTTCCAGGAAACGCATCACACTAGCGAGGGTCTTGGTGTGCTTAACACTTCCCTGGGGAGACCCCTGCCCCCAGACCAGGCAAGACTACCCCATCATGTGCTTGTCAGCACCCCAGCCTGTAGCACCCTGACGACGCCCACGTGTCCGGCCTGTTCATAACACATCCCCAATGCCTACTGAGGTCCCCAGCCCCAGGCAGCCCTCCAGGAACACGGGCTGAGGAGGGAAGGTGCAGGCAGAGGTGAACCCAGGCAGCAGGACGCTGTGACGTGGCAACCCCAGCCGACCATGGAGCCCCTCAGGGCCCGATGATTGGAATGCAGAGATGAGGAGCTGTGGCAGGGCGGGTCAGGGGCAGAGCCAGGGTGTGCCCAGGTCTCTCTTCCCACCCTGGGCACATCCTGCCACAGCTGGCTCACCTGGCTCCCTCCCCAGCCGCTTACCTCCGAGGTCTGCTTCTGCCACTCCAGCCTGCGGATGGGCGCAGAGTCCAGGGCCGAGAGGATGGCCAGGTAGGAGTTGAAGTTGTTCAGCTTCCGTAAGTGCTGCGGAGAGGGATGCGGTGGCCGTGAGCGCAGGTGCAGCCCAGGCAGGCCTGGGGCTCTGGCTCTCGGGCTGGGCCGGAAGGAGCAGGCTCTGGGGAGGTACCCGCTTTACCTTCATGATCTTGATGAACTTCAGGAGCAGCCGTTCCCTGTCCTGCGCCTTTTCCTGCAACATGATTATCGACCGGACCCTGCAGGGACCAAGGGCAGAGAGCCGGCTGAGCTGCCTGGTCCCCATCAGGCCCCTGGTGATCCTCCTGGAGATGGGATACGGACGCCGCACCAACCTGCGCCCGCACCCACAGTGTGCCCAGGGCTCGTGGGGCACCAGGCACAGCCCTAGTCTCTGTCCTCCGGGGACCAGGCACCCCGGGGAGGAGGCTACCCACCAGGGTGGGACCCGACCCGCAGATGGAGGGGCAAAGCAAGCTTTTCTGATAAGGGCTGGCAGAGCTCCCCGTGTGGCTGCAGGTCTAGCTCTGGAGACGAGTCACACGTGGGCCACTTGGCTGGCCTTGACGGAGTGCACTCAGAACCTTACCAAAGGCCAGCCTCGCACGAGGACCTCGTGGTGGCCTCGAGCCCATGCCTTCACAGGGCCCACTGCTGGGCACGGGGAGGCAGTGCCCCTGCTTTGCTTCCTGTCCCCCACAAAGGATGCGTGCACTGAGTACACTTGGCCGGAGCTCTGAGCCTCCTCCTACAGGCCCACCCCTGAGCAGCCTCCTGTGCCCAGCAAGGGGCTGGGCTTGGCTGGCAGCTGGTCCTGGGCTTGCTGAGGAGCAGGGAGAGGGCAGGGGATGTGGAGACGACCCACAGGGTATCCAACAAGCAGCCCTCAGGGCATTTAAGAAACATGAAACAGTCCCCTGGTAGCAGCTGTGGATCTTGCAGGGTGGGCTCTGCCACAGCACCAGACCAGAGGCTGCCGTGCCCTGTCCACCCTCCACCTGATGCTGAGAGGCTATGGACCTCGTGAGTCACACGCTGAGGAGCCAACAATTCTGTTATACTGTAAACACTTCGGGGCTTCATTTGCTTTAAGAATAAAGTCTAAATAAAAGTATTAATAGAACCCACTCTTTTACTGTTCTCTTGCAGGCAGAGTCAGAGTGAGGAGGCAGCCTGGCAGTGGAGAGACTGAAAATGACCAGGGCAGGATGGCACACCTGACCCTACCCCCATGCCGCCACCACGGCAGACATCGCCAATCAGTCCTGGCACTCTTGCCTGCTGAGCCCAGGACTCCTCAACCAGGCCTCCACACGGCCCTCTCCAATGTACAAGACACCCCCGGTCCTGTGCCTGCCCTTGCCCTCTGCTGCCTATGCTCACAGTCAGTACCCATGGGGCCTAGAAGGAGACGGGAGGAACGAGACAGGCACCTCCCTTTCCTTGCCACTGGGGCTCTCTGCGAAGAAAAACAGCAGGCCACCCACGTGTGCTGCCGTAAGAGACCGGGGGCTTCATACTGCGGCCTCCCCTTACCAGTAGGACATGTTGTTGAAGTGCTCTGTGAACTGGGTCAAATTGGGGCTCTTCTCCTCATTCTGCTCTTTTGCCCAAAGTAAAACCTCAGGAATCTGAAAAAGGAAGTAGACTGGATAGAGCTGGAGGCATCTGGCTGCCCCGTGCCAGGGCGGTTTCTCTTGTTCAGGGCTGCACAGCAGTGGCTTGCCCGGGGCAAGGGACAGCCCTTCCCCAGCCCTGGCCCCGCTCAACGCCGTACCTCTATCTTATAAAAGAGCTCAGCATCTAGCAGGGTCAGCTGCTCAGCTATTTCATGGCTGTGAAAGTCATGCAACGTCCCCGGCCTGGAAGACAGAGGCACAAGGTGAGGGCTCGGAGGACAGGGACGGTGGGAGCTGATGCCGAGCAGGCACTGCACTGCAGGCCTTGGGGCACAGCAGGAGAATGGAGGCCACGCCACAGAGGGGCAGAGGGCCGGGCCCAGACCATGCTCCTCCCTGGGGCAACGGAGCCTGCCTTCTTCTTCTGCCTCTGTGGGGGCCCCTCCTGTGAGCTCAGACAGCTCGGCTGCCTAAGAACTCACAGCCTGACCTGCTTCCAGGGCCCGGAGGGGACAGAGACACCGTAGGAATGAAGGCTGAAACACTAATAAGGAGGTGATCAAATCTACAGACATGTGGGCTGGGGTAGAGGGGCAGGCACCAGGCAGGAACCTACCCACAGGTCACTGGGAACCTTCAGGATGGCACCAGAGGCAGGGCTGTATGAGAACAACTGCCGCAGAAGTGCCAGGACGATGATCCAAGAGCCACAGCAGGGATGCACCCATCTGTCCCTGTTGTGGTGAGCCCCATACACCTCACCTCCCCACTTCCCCATGAAAGGTGACATGCCACACACATCCCTGGAAGGGGCCCCACCAGGGGAACCCCGTGTGGCACCTTGTCACAGAGCCTGGGGGCCTGGGGAGGTGAGCTGGGGGACATGGCCAGAGGGGCGGCTCCCAGGCACGGCTCCTGGTAGAGGCCGGGCCAGAGGAAGCCTGGACGTGCCGCTGGTGGCTCACCTGGCGGCCACCCCCCTGGCGGCCAGGGGCTGGTCAGAGTTGGCGCACTTGAGCAGCTTCTTCTGGTCCACCTTGTCCAGGATGTTCTTGCGGAGCACGCGGGCCAGGCTGAGCTCCCCGTTGCACACCAGGCGGAAGACCAGTTCCATGAGCAGCTTCAAGATCTCTTCTGTCAGCTCCACTAGGCTGCGGGCGAGGGCCGAGCACAGGAAGAAGGCTGATGCCGCAGGGTGCACAGCCCGCTCAGGGCACCCGGGGCCATGGGGCAGCAGCCAGCAGAGCTGGGACGCCTCACAGAAGCGGGAGGGACGCAGTCTCGGGAGGGCTCCTCAGGGCTGGGATGTGACCGCCACCGTATCGGAAAACGCTGGCCGCACCAGACCAGCACCTGGGACTGTGCTGGGAGACAAATCCGCACGAATCCTGCCCCAGAGGAGTGGCTGCTACCGTGAGGGTGATGAGTCACAGGGTGCTGGCCCCTCAGACTAGATGCCCGGAGCTGCCCCTGCACTGCTCCGTGCGGCTCCTCAGGCCATCCCCTCAGCAGGAGGTGGATGCCGTGAAGGCAGGACCTGGGAGGCTTCTCCACCATGGACTCTCCAGACCAGGCTGGGGGTCCCACAAGGAAGATGGGGCAGAGCTGGCCTGGGGGGACTCAAGTCAAAGTCGAGAGGGCCCAGCCTGTGCAGGCTGTGCTCTCAAGGAGCAGGTGGGACATGCCACACCTGTCTTACAGGGAAGCCTGAGCCCTGGCAGGGAACCCGAGGTCCCCAGCACTCACCAGAGTTCATCCACCACCCGCACCAGCACGAAGAACGTGTTCTTGCTGACACGCTTCTTGAAGGTGTCGGAGAAGGGAGAGAACTTCTCATACGTGAACGCGTTAAGGAAACAGCCAGTGTCACAGGCAGGCATGGGGGGATGTGAGGGGCAGCCGCCGCCTCCTGTCACCATTTAGGGAGGGCTTATGATGCGGGAACCCCACAAGTGAGCATCTACCAGGACGAGGGCAGGACACGTGTAGCCACAGCTGTGAAGCGGGGTGCTGCCTGCGCTGTTGGGCACAAAGACTGTCCTCAACCACGTCTCCTGCCCACAGAACGGGCCCCACGGCACAGCCCAGGCCTGACCTCCCACTGGGGTCGACCCAAGGTTCCTGTGAAACTTATACAGTGAAGGCTCCTTGCTGAGCTTCCTGGGGGAGAAAGATGGCCAAGAACCAGTGTCCTAAAGCCCCTGGGGCCCCAGAGAGGCACAGAGGTGGGCAGGGTCTTCCTCCACTCCTGCCGTGAGTTCCTATCCATCTTTTTACAGCTTCAGAGGCCACCTGAAGCACAGCTGCCCTTCACACACCTGCCCACCTCCAGCTACTCCCCAGGCCATGGATTCTGCCTTGGGGCTGGGGGCTCACAGTTTCTACCCTGGTGGGGGCCACTCTATCTGCCTGGCGGGGGGGGTGGTCGCGGTTTCGTGCTGCTCTCTTGTGCTCACTGTTGCCTCTCCAGGCCCTCTTCCAGCTCCGTCCTGCCCGCTCTCTGGCCGTCTAGGGGTGCTTGGGAAGGAGCCACGTGCTGGGCAGTCCCAGGGCCTGCAGCACTGAGGGCTCACTAGCTGGACGTGCCCATGGTCTTGGTGCTCCAACACTGCCAGGAGCACGCCTGACGCGGCCAAGCGGGTGATGCTGAGCACCTGAGCACCGCAGTCAGGCGGGTGGGGGTGGGGGTCTCCCACCAAACAGCCACATGGATCACTTAACGTCTGAGCCTCAGGTTTCTTAATTACACAATAGGAGATAATGTAATGGTACCACATGACATATGGTGATGATACATATAAGAGCATCATACCTAAGTGAAATCACATGTGCAGACACTTAGTGTCTGCCCGACACTAGGAAGTTCCCAATAAGCCTGAGAGCCGGACCCGTGAGCAACTCGTGTGTGAGGCTGGAGGGAAGCTAGTCTCTGCGATGGGGACCATCCACCTCAGTCCTGGGACAGGGCCTCTCCGGCCGGGCAGGGAGAGGGGAAGGCTCAGAGGCCCCAGACTTCCTGCTCTGAGAGACGGCAGCTGTCCAGCAGATGGCAGTCACGGGCCAAGCGGTAGGGAGGCGGCCAAGGAGCAGGACACCAGGCCAGGCCCCGATTTGGAGCAGCAGCTCCAGGTCGGCCTCGGCAGGAGGGGCAGGTCTGGACCTGAGAAGGAGGTGATGAGAGTGGGTCCTTCCAGGCCCCAGGGCCTTCTCTGGCATGGCGCCAGGGCGTGGTGTCTTGGAGAGTGAGCCTGAGGGTGGATGAGGTCAAGGGCTAGGGGCTGTCCACTGCTGGGCCTGCCACAGGTGAGTGGCTGTGCCTGCCGAGGCTGTTCACTTGAATCTGGATCCCTGCAAGCCCCTGGCACTTGGCAGCCATTGCCTCCAATGCCCCAGGATTCAGCTCTGAGAAGCGACAGGGCCTGCACACATCCTGCACCTCCCTCTCTGGGTGGGTCACTTCTGTCCAGTTCTTTTCAGAACCACCAAGTGACCACAGCTGCCATCAGGCAACACGCCCTGTGTCTGGCTGCTTCACAGAACCCTGCTGGGGCCCTCAGCCCTTTTACAGATAAAGACAGAGGCTCAAAGAGGAGGCCCAGTCCGAGGTCCCAAAGCGAGGACACAGCAGAGCAGGGCTGGGCACCTCCGTCCCTGCCGCCCTCTGCCCCACGTGACTCTCCGCAGGAGGGCTGAGCAGGCAAGGCCCCTTTCTCCTGGCTCTGGAAGGCTCGGAGGTGTGAGCGGTAGGGACCAGGGCTGGGGGTGGGAAAGGATATCTGTACTGCAGCTTCTTGATGAGCTCCTCAGGGGTGATGAAGGTCCTGTAGGTGGTCAGGAAGGCCTCACAGTACAACACAAGGTCTAGAGGGAAGAACGATCGATTAGTGATGCCTGCCACTGGCAAGGGACAGGGACGGGCAGCAGGTCTGCTGCAAGTATTTGCCACCCTGATTAGACACGGAGAGCTTCTTGTCTGTCCTAAGACTTAAGGATTAAAAGGGGCTTAACCACAGGTGCAGAGAACATAACCCGAACTCATCAGGATTCTGAAGCCAAACCACAGGTAACTCATTCAGATGGCAGGGCCCAGGAACAAACACCTTGGGACTTCCACATGCTGAGAGGCCTAAGGAAGGTCAAAGGGGCACAGCCTGGCACACTGCTGGAATACGTAAGCGGGCAGGTCCAGGCACGGGGGGACGCAAGGCCAGGCAGGAGGAGCCCGGCTCCCGATGCGGGTGGGTCTCGGGCTGGCGGCTCCACCCACCACCTGCTCTTCTGTTTGGAGGGGCTGGGTCTAGCCAGGGATTCCCAACCTTCCTGGAATCCCAAGACCCCCCATTTATATGTGGTTGTGATACATCCTCCCAACCACGCAGTCTCTGGCATAAAAAAGGAGAATGTTCCAAATACAGGACATTCCCCGAGACCAATGACCTGGCCAGGCTTGTGGCCATTCCATGCTGGAGCTGAGGTTGGAGCCCGATCTGGCTCCAAGGCCTGTGCTCGTTGCTGAGGCTGGGTGTGCACGCATGCACACGCACACACGTCCTTTCCGGACCCAGGCCACCTCCCTGTACTTCTCTTATTCATCCCCCCTTGCTGGGTGGGGGAATCTCGGGATTCCCGCTTCTCCGGCTACGCAGCACAGGCTTGGCAGAAGACTTCCCAGGACAAACGAGAGGAGAGGCCACCTCTGCTCCGGTCTCTGGGTCTGCATGGGGGGAAGGCCTCTGTCCTCAGGAAGCCACAGGCCAGAGGAAGCAGCTGAGTGACCCGGGGCCTCCGTCCCAACAATCAATCCATCCCAGGCACAGAGGACTTTAGTTCCCGGGAGCCTCGACATCTCCCCATCAAGAGAAGCAACGGGAGCCCTGCCGGCAGCAGCGCCTCCTCTCCCAGACATGGTTGGCACAGACCGGAAGGTTCTTGGCTGTCCTGCCTGCGGGCCTCCCTCTGGCCCAGGCCACAGCTGGCCACACCTGGCAGGACAGAGCTGAGGGCTGGAGCCAGCTCGCATCTCAACCTTCTACTCGTGGAAAAAAGTGGAAATGCTCCCCGGGCCTGGCTGAGGACAGAGCTCCGGCCTGTCTGGTGTGCAGGAGGGTCCCCTGCAGGAATCAGAGCAAGGGCCGCCCCTGGGGTGCCAGTGGCGCTTTCCTGAGCATCTATGCCCCACATGCTCTGCCCTCACTCTGCCCTTTACATCCACTGGGCATCGTCAGCCTTGTCAGATAGCAGGGGCGGCCGAGGGCAAGTGAGGGCACGTGCCCAGCACCACCAGGTCTGTGAATGGCACAGCGGGATTTGAACCTGACGTCCCCACGACAGGGCTCTGCCCAGGTCAGAACAAACTAGGGGTGGAGAGACCCCAGAGGGAGAAACAGTGGCTGTGGTGAGTTTGTGGGAGCCATTTCTTCTTTTTCTCTATTTTTCAAGTTTTCTGCAAGGCCAATGTTATTTTTGTACTAGTTGCATAATGTAAAAATTCCCAGAATCATTCTGTGTAACATACTTTGGGAAATTTGATATAAAAACATGGCATAAGGTCATTTATAAACACGAAGTTGATGGGTCAGAGTCCGAGACTGGGGTGTCTAATTCCTTCCACGACTTAGTTTAATATTGCTGTCACATCATCTTCTGAATACTTTTTTGAAATGTAAAAAGAAAACAAGTGTGGGGAGAGGCCCGGCCACTGCGGGGGCGCAGGCACTGCAGCGCTCCGTCCCTCTCCCTGCCAGCCCCTCCTCTCCTTCCCTCCAGGAACACGCTCTGTTGGCAGCTCTTCTGCCAGCTGAGGCCACTGGCAGCAGGCCCCGCGTGCCTCTCAGAGGACTGGGACCCTGAGTGGGCGGCTCTGAAGGGCTGCTGAAGGCCTGGTCCCGACCTGCAAAGGTAACGCCGCCGGAGGCCGACCAAAGGCTGCTTCCCAGGACTCCCTGCGGCGCATGCGCATGAAGCCCAGTCTAGCAGCAGGGGACAGTGCACTGGGTTGGGCACAGGGAAGGTCTGTGAGGCCGCCCGCATGTTATCTTGGCTGTAGTACTACTGGGCGTTTGCCATGTGACCGGCTGTTTGTGCAGCACCTACTAGGTGCCCAAGCTCTACACCTGAAACTCATTCTCCCGCCCCGGGGCCCCAGGGCCCATCGCTATCCAGTACCAACGGAGGACAGCTCTGAGAGGGCGGGGAAGCAGAGGGCCTGGCTCTGGAGATGTGGCACCTGACCCCACGGGGGGCCTCTCACGGTGAGCCAGCAGCCTGGGACCACTGCTCCAACCCGCTCCGGGCTGCTGGAGGAGAGCAGAGGGCAGGGCAGCTGTGCTGAGTGGCTCCTTGGCCTCACCAGACCAGAGCCTGTCCAGCGAGCTCAGACACAGGCCGCAGGGAGGGCTTGCTGTACCTTTCCTGTCCGTCTCGGTGGCGTGGACCAGGAGGATATCTCCAGATCCCCCGCGGACGTCTGGCCCATCATCACCCTGCAATGACAACAGCAGAGGAGGACATGAGGCAGAGTGCAGCCGCAGGGTGGGTTCTGGGAGTCAGGCAGGGGAGGATGAGCAAGCCTGAGCCGCAGAGGCCCCGGGCCCCTTCCCTCCACTCCCCTCACCCTGGGAGCGCTGTGGCCTCTCCACCGCGGGCGCCAGGGCACACAGCTCTGGGGACACAACTGGGCTGGGGGCATGGTGCCGTTCCATCTTCTGCTTGTCCACCTGTGGGTCAGAGCCTAGGAAGTTCTCACAGGGGGACTGGTGGGACACCACAGGCAAATGCCACCAGGAAGCCCAGGATGACTGGGCTTAGCAAGACTATGTCCAAGTACGTTCATGCTCTAAAACTGACGTGAGCTGCTCTGAATCTGAATGTTTCACCAGGTGGAAGGAGAAGTCACTTGTCAAAATGTCACAGGTTTGCCTAGGGAGCCCTTCTTAGAGAGGTGCAATGTGTCACAAAAATGTTTGGTCACACCTGGCACTGCCAACATGACCACCAGCTGCGCCTGCCAATTAATGGGAGCCCTATTTTCATGCTAACAGGCTTTAACCCATAAACCTGGCCTGGAGCCAAAAACACTTGTGGTCGGGGCCAGGGATGGGGGCCTGGGCTGCATGCCAGCAGCCCCGCACCCCCTTACTCTACATTCCTGTGGGAGCGGCCTCCTCGTGTGAGCCACATTTACTCTGAGGCGCACCTGCCTCTTCAGGGCTCCAGGGCTCTTACCCCTGGACTCAAGTCCTCAAAGTGTGCTGCATTTCTAGCTAAGGCTGCGGGCGGATACGCCCATGACTGGGTTTTCACAAGAAATCTCCAGCCAGGGTCACAGAGCATCACTTCTCTGTGCAGAGGGGCTAGCCAGCTCCTCTGCCTGCCTGCCTGCACATCTGTGGGCCCTACCACTGGGTCGGAGCCCAGAAGTGGGCACTGCCTCGGGGCTGGGTCAGGGAGTCACGCTAAGCCGTTCCTCTGTGTTTGTGGCATCTCATGGCAGAAGGGAGACAAACCTCTTTCAGGTCATCTCCTGTGTGTGTCTGGGCACTGTTTTCACCAACGAAGCTCTCCTGACAGAGCCCGGGACAGAGCGGTCAAAGCGGCCAGGCCTGACGCCCCTGTCTGCTTGTGCCTCCTGTGCTGGAACTCCAAGGGGTCATCCTGCCAGTGACCCTGCGGGCATCTTTCACTGATGAGGGCTCACCCTGCAGGCTGTGTGTTGAGCACCCCACATGGATTTCATTCTCACAACCCCTCCAGAGTCCTGCCTTTGGGGCTTGGAGATGTGATGTGACTTGCCCAAGATCACTCAGGAAGTGTCAGAGGAGGGGACAGTGTACTTCTCCTGTGATGTGTCCACCCGCCCGTATCTTTGGCACCCACAGCGGCCCAGGCACTGGGACAGAAGAAACGCGGTGCCCACAGCCCACAGCCCAGGGCGGCCAGCTTGAGGCTCTTTCTGTTTGAGGCCCTTCAGGCCACATTCTCCCTGAAGCCCACCCCCCCACCTGTGGGCCGGCCTTCGCACACAGCTAAGGCCTGGGAGGCACTCACCTCCTGCTTGAGGGTCAGCCGCGCCATGATTTCACTGTGGTCGATGAGGGACAGCTCGTCCACTTCCTCTTCCGACTGAGCTGACTCTGGGGCATCTGGTGACTTTGGGGCCCTGGAGGGAGAAGTGATTTGTGTTGCAATCATCAAACAGGCGCTGGGCTCCTGAGGTACTGTAGCCCCATGAACACATCCTCCTTGAATCGCAGCTGCAGTAGGAACCCCAGACCCGCTTCCTACCCCCAGTGCAGGGGCCCTGAGTGGTGGACAGAAGCCAGGATGAAGAGGAACTCCTGGCTTTGCTGCTGAGGAGCTGCGTGAACGCAGGACATCTCCATCTCTAAACGAAGGGAGTAAGCAATAAGACTGAGAAGGTTCCATTGAGCTATTTAAGTGACAGTCTTAGTCATTCTTTGCCAAGGTTCACCATCTGCACAGTAAGTATTCTCGGGGAGGAACAGCAAAAGGGCCAGTGGGTGGGCGGTGAGGATGGATTCTAATGCCACCCCCAGTCTGTTCCCAGGGCCACGTCTCAGGGCTGAGGAGGAATGGGAACCCAGGACTGGCCCTGGTCCTTGGGGTGCTGGGCCCAGCAGGAGGCAGATGTTAGAGCAGTTAAACAGACATTACATCAGCTGGGGGACTTCGCTCAGTGTAAAGGGCAGGGAAGGCCCCCTGAGGATGGACAGAGAAGCGGAGCCTTCATGTGCTGAGCAGGAGCTGGCTGGTGTCAGGGAAGAAGGAGAGGGCCACCCAGCAGAGGAGCATGGGGGCGGCTGGGGGAACCCTGGGGTGGATGGGCGCTGGTCTGCAGACACCTTGCTGCCCCCTAGCATTTTCTCCCACATTCCCATTTTATTCTTCTGATTCTCGTGATGAACCTTAAGCACTGCTGGCCTTGTGGTATAGGCCACATTTCTAATGATACGGAACTGATACATAAAACTCAGTGCCTTCATGGAGAAAGACAAATACCAAATGATTTCCCTCTTTATGGAGTGTAACAAACGAGGCAAAACTGAAGGAACAAAACAGTAGCAGACTCACAGACTCCAAGAAGGGACTAGCGGTTACTAAAGGGGAGGGAGGGAGAAGGGGACTGAGGGGTACTATGATTAGTACACATGGTGTGTGGGGTGGTCACGGGGACGACAGTGTAGCACAGAGAAGACAAGTAGTGACTCTGTGGCATCTTACTACACTGATGCACAGTGACTGCAACTGGGGGGAACTTCATAATAAGGGTGAATGTAGTAACCACAATGGCTTTCCTGTGAAACCTTCATAAGAGTGTGTATCAAGGATACCTTAATAAAAAAATTTTTGTGTGTGTGTGTGAGGCTGGCTCTCGTGAGAGCCATTGCTGAAAAAAACAAAACAAAACAGTGCCTTCAGAGAGATGACGAGGATGGGCCAGAGCACAGCCACGTGCAGCTGCGGGAGGAGCCCCTGCCGCGCACCTCGCCAGCGTCCAGCCTGCCGTCTGGCCTTCGTGGAAACTGCTTCTAACAGCGGTGTGCTCATCTTTCTGCCTCTGTCACAAGGGCCATCTGGAGCTTTGAAAAATGACCCTCTCAGGTCCAGTGGCGCCAGAGACAGGATCCATAAGGGGCTATCACTTGGCACAGACACTCTTGGCTACTAGGCGTTCAACTAGAAAACCCATCATCCCCTGCTTCAGACTGGGGAGACCGGAGTCTGGGCAGATGAATCAGGCAGGCTCAACGTGGACGGGCCAAGGAGTGGCCAAGCCGGCAGGCGGCTATCTTCAACTGGCCCTGCAGAATGCTTTCTCACTTTTTTCTGCCATTTGCTATTTTTACCACCAATTCAACCATTTATGCTTTGTCTTGACAAGGAAAAGTGGCACTGCTTAGGTCTGCACCCAGGACTCCAGAGCTCTGAACCTTGGCCCACAGGGGGAAGAAGAGCTGCATGTGTGTGGACCGCTTCACAAAGACGGTGAAGTCCACGTGGACCTGCAGTGGGCAGAGCTGGTCTGCAGGCCCATGCGTGGCATCTTCAAAGTGCCACTGGAGAAACTGCCCACATAATTTTGACCCTGGTCAGGTTGACTTATGCTAATAAGTCAAAATATTATAGAAGATTATAAGCAGACATACAACTAAAATGCAGTGACGCCTCCTGATTGATCCTAGTGCCAAAACAATAAGCCATACAAGGCGTTTAAGGCACAACCAGGGGACTGGAAGATGGCTCGCGTTACCAGATGATATGAGGGAATCCGTTACTGATTTTCTTAGGTGTGATGATGGCTTTTAACATTTTTTAGGAGGCACACTGAAGTATTTAGGGGCTGAGTGCCATGTCTGTAACTTACTTTTACATGGTTTAACAATACAGTATACATGCTACACCTAGAAACTCACAATAAAAAGTTTGGGGGGATCATTCATAATCCCTTATGGCACTCGAATTTGGAAGAGTCCAAGGGAGGCTGGCCGACGATGTGAAACAGAAGAGCCCGTTGTGGGTGACTTTGTAAGGTGGGCAATATGCGTGCAGGTGATCAACGAGCAGTAGCAGAGTGCATGTTAGAATGGGGCCTTTGAGGAGGTAATGGTGTTTTCTTGTTTTACACTTTTCTGTATTTGCTGCGTTTCCTACCCTGGGCATGTATAACTCTGAGAATCAGAAGGAAGAATGTAACCATACAGCACAGGCCTGGTGTGCTGGCTGGCAGAGCAGCCCCGGCAGCCAGGGGTTGGACTCGGGATTCTGGGGGCTGAGGTCTGTGGCGGGTGCTTCCTACCTTTCCCCGCCGTCTCTGCTTTCCTTCCCAGATGCACTGCTGACCAACGAGGGGCCTCCGGGATGCCCAGCTCTCATGGCCGGTGATTCCTGCAAGGAGAAGCCAGGGCTGGGCTGAGACAGGTGCCCCACACTGGGGCTGAACTGCTCCCCGACATGTCTGCCTGTAAGTGGCTCCCGAGTGCCAGTCCCCGCGGAGCAACCCAAGGTGTCAACAAGTTAACGGTGAGTGCTGGTGACTGCACAGGCAGCACAGGCCCTCTTCAGACTACGTCTCGCCTTTGGGAAGACTGAAAGGCACCACTACTTAGAACTTATACTAGCTGCCAGCCCACACGATGCCATTCCAACCACGTCTCGGGAGCAAGGACTGTCCCAGTCTCTACAGCTTGTCCAGGCTCAGTGCTGAGGGCTTCGCACACCTCCTGTTGCTCAGCCTTTGCGGAAGCCTGTTCCATGAACTGGCAGCACCAGCCCGTTCATGCCCGTTCACGCCCGGGAGGAGTGGAAGGCCTGCCCACAGCCACACGCTCGAGGCTGCAGCCTGGACTCACACCCAGGGCTGTCCACCTCCAAGCCTTGTCCTTAGCCACCGTGCCCTGCTGGTTTGTGGCAAACCTGCACTGACTTCCTGCTGAAGGGACCGTGGTGCTCCGCTGCTTCCCAGTCATGGCTCCCCAGGGTCTAGCAGCCGCCTCCTTCTCCTGTGGCCTTGCCTCTGCCTGGGCATCCAGGCCCCCACCACTCAGTGACCACGCAGCCCTCCAGCGCCCCTGGTTTGCCACTGGGGCCATGACAGACAAGGGATATCACAAACAGCACTTCCAGGTGACAGTCAGCAACAGATGTGGCCACGGGAGATGGGCGGGGCCGGGGAAGGCCAGCCCGCTGAACTGGGGGACGCCGAGGGCACAGGTCGCCAGAGCGGACACGTGAGATGGGGACTCCGGGGAGAAAGAGCTTGGCTCCTGTGGACATGGTCAAATCCCACTGGAGAGAAAATTCCACAGCGTTCTATGACTTGCTAATGCCCGAAGGGGGGCTTGACTTGCGTGGACCTAAGATCCTGTGGGGATCCCCTTGGGGGCCATCTAAACTGGGGTGGCCATGCTTCTAATGGGCTGGGCCCTTTGAGGTGATCACCAGGGAGTCCTCATGGCGCCTCCCCTTCAGGGGCCTGCTCCACACGGGATGGTGAGGGAGGGCTACTTCTGAAGCTTTTTAACTTGCTTATGCTCTGTGGCAGCTGCGCAGCAGCACTGTTGCGCCTTGACTGTGTCCAGCTGGGACTGCACTGAAGCGAGGTGACGCTGTCAGGCAGCTCTCCCCTCAGGGAGGACGGAGTCGTGCACACACACAGCACGGGCTCCGGCCAGGCTCACCCAGGGTCCCTGGAAGCAGGTACCTGGGGGAAGAGCATGCTGGGGAGGAAGCAGAGAGCCCTCCTCTGGGTGAGGGATGGAGATGGACCTCAACACTGGAAGAGGAGATGAAATCCCTGGAGCAACCGGACCCCTGGCTATGCCAACGTCAGGCTGCTTCCATAGATTCCCAGAAGACCATCCGGCCAGGCTTGAGGAGTGCCACACGCACGAAGCCAAAGCAAAGGGCAGACTCTACTGGGAGCAGCGTCCTCCCCTGCAGGGCCGAGCTGGCCCCTGGCAAGGCTGCAGGGATCAATCTCCTAGCGACACCTAGTGACTGGGAGGCTCAGCCACAGAAGCAGGGGCCCAACCCTGCCAGGCCAGGCCACATGCACGAGGCCGCCCTGAGGTTACTTACTCCTCGAGAGGGGGCCAGCTCCTCGCTGCTCTGGCCAGAGGAGTACAGATTGACGTATTCACCCTCCCCAGCTTCCTCACTGGCGATCTCGCTCTGGGGGAGACAGGATGAGAGGAACGCACATGTGACAGGCCCTCTACCAGCCCTTGCAGCTCAGAGTGGGTGGCCCGCCTGGCGGGCCCGGACAGGACGCTCCTTTCATGAGGAAGGGGTGGCGGCAGCATGCACGCAGCCTGCCTCGGAAAGCTCTTCTCCAGGGCCAGGGAACAAAGCTGCTTTGGCCACCTCTTGGCCACCTCTTGCAACGTAGGCTGCAGGGCACCTATGTTTCCTGCTGGCTCCCCTCCAAAGATGTTGAGGGCCCTTCAAACTGTCCTAAGGAGGTGTCCTCCTTCCCGTCTGCTGTAGTGGAGGCTGCGGGGGTCCCCAGTGTGGGGGGAGGTGATCAAGGGGACAAAGGCACACGTCAAGACAATTCGACCTGCTTGCCTGTGGTGGCCCTGCCTGGCCTACCTGACCGTGTCCCCACCAACTTGCAAGGCAGCCCTCCCTGGGCTGATGCAGCGCTGCCGTCAGCTGAGTGGGGCAGGAGAGCCCTCAGACCACACGCAGCTATATGTGGGACTGCCGTAGCTGCTTTGGAGACCTCTGCCTGGACCCTTCCTGCAAAGGCATTTGTCTCTGAAAACAAACCACCACCAGAAAGCCAGCAGTGCTGCCTACCTCATACTTACGATAACTAACTGGCTTTAAGTTGGTCGCTAGTCCATTTTTGGAAAACCAGATCCTAGTGTGATGGGAACTTTGTACAGAAGGTTCACTTCCGTTCTGGAAATGGAATGGATAGGCTACTATTTCACCTTGTGACCTGCAGACCTCGATCGAGCCACGCCACCTGCCAGCACACGCCGCCGGCAGACCTGGCTGGGAGGCAAGGGAGGCGGCTGACTGGCCCAAGAGAACCGCCGTCTCATGTGCGCAGCCCCGCGTGGAGGTGTGTGTGCTGAGTTCTCACCGAAGGCGTCTGGGGCGAGTCAGTGAAAGAGGTTTCGGAAGGAAGGCAGACAGTGTCCCCATGCAAGGCGCTCTCCTGAGAAGATGAAAGAGGCCCGTCCGCGGCGCTGGGCGGCGGGCTGGCTACGGCCGGCACCGCTAAGTCAGAGCTCTGAGACTGGTGCACAGGTGGGAAGTGTGCAGAGGGAGAGGAGGTGGGCGGGAGGGAAGGCCGAGCGGAAGCTGGGCTGTGAGGCACGAAGTCCTGGGAGTAGGACCTAAACACAGACTTATACTGCAGAGTCAAAGAGGGAAACAGACACAAAAACGGGAAGATGGGAAGAAAACAGACAAAAGAAAAAGTAATTAGATTCACTTGGTCGAACCGCGACAGCCTGTTCCCAGTAAGTTTGGTGGTTGAACCAACCTGGGGCCTCCGGCCTGGGCCCCTCCCACCCCAGGGGACGCTTCCAGGGTCTGGGCAGGAGGACTGGGGTGACCCGCAGAAGGGCCAAACCACGCGCTGCACGGCGGCCCCCCTCGGCTGTCAGAATGAAACCCACACTGCCCAGCCTACGCCTTTTGTCTTTTCAGGCATCTTGTGTGCAGACACCTGGTCATATTTACTCATTTTGAATCTTTTGGATGAATCTCTTTGGTTTTATCCCTTCGAAGTCAAACAATGCAGCCTTTAGACACTGTAATCCACCTCAAATCATTTTGCAAGGGAAGGGCATAAGCCTTTAAAACAGTTTGAAGAACAGTGCTATCAAAATACTAAAACTTTCTGAGTCCCCTTTCTACGCCATCTTTTCTTTTTTTTTTAAACCCGTGTGTGATCTTGCGATGCCTCCTTAGAGAGATGCCAGGCTACACACTCCCAAATTCTCATCAAAAGAGGAAAGTCTGAGGCCAGGCTGAGACGTCACGGCGAACGCCCGGCTTCCTGGGGCCTGGCACCTCTCCAGGCCTGGGTGCTGCTGTAGTGCCAGAGGCGCCCAGGGCCAGTGGCCACCAGGCTCAGAACCTGATGGCGCCATCACATCCAGTAAAGGGCCTGTCCGCGTGCAGCTGTCAGGGGCAATGGGACAGTGGGAGGAATGACTGGGCCTCACCTGCCCGCTAAGGACGCTGGAACTTGAGAGGAGCCAAAGCCAACACAGACGTGCAATCAGTGACTCGCGTGTTCTCTGCGTTCTGGCACTGCGTTTTCAGAACCCGTGGATAAGCAAAAGGAAGACAAACGAAATCTCACGCTAACAGTAGGTTGAAGCCATGCAAACCCTTAAGCGGGTCTGTCCTGCAAAGCTCCATGATGACCTGCTGCCAGCCTGGCCCCTCCTGGCTGTGCTCATCTGGGTCTAAAGCTCCTTTTCCCTCCTCCAGAAGGCCAAGGCCAAGGCCTCTCGCCTGTGGGAGCAACACCGGTCGTTGTTTTACATGAGCCCCAGGACACATGCCCTAGCCACCTACTTAGTTCTACACACTGAATCTCCCCAAGTAACTCACAAACTCCAGGCCAGCCCTTGCTTGTGATCACGAGTTAGTGCAAGTGCCATGTGCACGTTCTGACCAGGCGGCACTGAAGGCTTGGATTCCTCCTGGAAGTGAAGTTTCATTCACATCCTCCGTTTTATATGAGCTGGATGAGCAAACCCCAGCTCAGCTGCTCTCCTCGCAAGGGCTGTGGGGTCTGTGCACCACTGTGCCCTCACCAGCCACGCGCCACGGTTCAGCTGCTCTTTCATAGCCACTGCTCAGGCCTGGAGGACCTCATCCTGGGCCCTGCTGGGGATGACAGTAGTTTGGCCTTTGGGATTTTCCATTTCATCTCTGGAGGAAGCTCCCTACATTGTCTCACTGGTGGGAAGATCCCCGGAGAAGATAGTGAGTGGGAAGCATGGCCAAGGGCTGGTCCAGCCTCCTGGGAGGCCCCTCCGAGACTCCACGGTGCTGTTTCAGACTGTGGTGTCAGCCTCATGCAGGAGCCCGGGGCTCGGGTCTGCCAGAGGCTCCTTCTACCAGACTTGCTAACAGCTGCCAATTCTGTGTCCCTGAGCACAACTGGCCTAAATTCATGTGCAATGCTGCTATGTTCTGAATGTCTGTGTTCACCCAAAATACCAAAATCCTAACTCCCAAAGATGATGGTATTAGGAGGTGGGGCCTTTGGGAGGTGCTTACGAACTCATGTAAATGGAGTCAGTATCTTATAAAAGGGAGTCCGGAGAGAGGCCTTGTCCTCCTACCAGGTGAGAGTACAACAAAAAGTCTGTGCCGGGAGAGGGCCCTCACCAGGCCATGCTGGCACCCTGACCACGGACTTCCAGTCTCCAGAGCCGGGAGGAATAAATTCCGTTGTTTGTATGCTACTCTGTCAGTGGGATTTCATTACAGCGGCCTGAATGCAAACTCACTTGGTATGTGAGCAGGCCCTGCAACAACTGAGCATCTGACTTCCATCTACGGAAATGGTTTTGGGTGACCCTGAGCTGTATCAGGTTTGGGAGTCTGCACCCTAGATACCAGATAGTACCTTCCTTCCTAGATCACAGTGCACATGCCTCTCTGGGAGATGGCACAAGGGTGACTGCTGAGGGCTCGTTCTCAAGTCACACAGGCCTGGGCTGGGGCGCTGGGTGATTACTACCTGGGACTTTGGGCAAGTGACCTAAGTTCCTGCGCCTTGGTTCATCTTTGAAATGAGGATGAAAACAACAATCCTTCTGTCACAGGGTCTCCCCGTGGATTTACTGAGATGAGGCCCTTTAAGTCCTCAGCACACTGCTGGCATGTGACGAGCACACAGTGTCAGCTGCCTTCCCTTGCTCTCCAACTACTCAAACAGAGCCGAGGCATTTAATAGGGGCCCAATACATGTTTGCTGGATTGAAGGAATGCTTAATAATTGATTCTAATGCTCCTGAAGTGCCTAGAATGTTGCCCGGCACACAGCAGCACTGTGGTTTCAGTGTGGAAGGGGAGCAGGCAAGCTTTGCCCACTGCCTGGTGCAGGTCTGCAGTGGGAGCCTGGGGAAGGAGGCTCAGGGATGCTGCCAGGGGCACGTGTGGACCGCAGAGGCCAGGGGCAGCCATCAAGAAGGAAGGAAGGAGGCTGCATCTTGGACAAAGCATCTGGCTGCCCACCCTTTCCCTCCACAGCAGCTCCAGGCCTGTAGCAGCTCTGGTATTCAAGCTATGCAGTCATGCTGGGACGGAAGCCAAGTTTAAAAAGTACCTTCCAGGCGGCGGAGAGGTGCAAGGATTGCTCTTTAATCACCACACACACATGGTGTCCCTGGGGTGGGGAAGTGGCTCTGCAAAGCCAGGGCTGCACTGAGGCTCATTTTCATACATTTTCAACCTGTCTGGTCCCTACTGATAGCCCAGAGAACTATTTTCAGGCCCCTGAAGATCACATCCATTCGTACGGGCAGGGAGAAAGCAGGGCTGGCCACTCAACAGAAACACCCCGCAGCCTGGCATTTATTTTAGGATCTGGCTGGTGCCCAGCTTTGCTTCTGGCAGAGCTGCTGTGCTCTCTGTGGCAGGAATTTTTATTTATAGCCAGAGTGAGACTGTTTGGGCTGAGGATTTAACATGAGGGGCTGCCTGTCTGGAAATGGCAGATTTCTGCAGAAGATGTAGGCATACCAGAGCAAGTTCCTCAAAAGGGGAGAGCAGCTAGGAGAGGGGTGCCTGGCCCCCAATGCCAGCCTTGGTCACAGCAGTCCAAGTGCCAGGAAGGACCACCTTGTGATGATGACAGTTATTCTTACTGGCTGCTTCCTACTGGTCAGATGATGTGTTATGAGTTTTGCATGAATCACCTTATTTAATTGACACCAAGTGCTGTTATGATTCTGATGACAAAGATGAAGAAGTGGCTGAAAGTGTAGACAGCAGACCTAGTAACACATGGCACGTCCCGTACAGGACGCCTGGGGATGCCTGCATCACACTGAGTATTGCAGGTATGCGACAGGCCCTAACCCTGCAATCGTACAGCTCTCTGCAGGATACGGCCACCACGACTGCTTGGAGAGCTCCTTCACTGGGTGTTTTGTGACAGCCAGAGTGCCAAAGGCAGCACTTAAGTTTGACATCTATGCTGGGCACAGACCAAAGACCTGCCCTCAGACCTGTGGGAACCAGAAATCTGCTCTTTTGAAAATGTACCTCTTAAAGAACCACCAAGAGTCTTTTGGGTGGAAAGGATGTGGAGGCTGGCAACCTCCTACGTTAGCATGTGGCTATTCACACGCTAAAAAACAAAGCCACCCAAAGCTGGCCAGGTGCCAGGTTTCCACACTTCCTAGTATAGTCCTGGTACAAACGGACTAGGCGTGGGCCCTGTGTCGTGTTGGCATGGAAAGCAGATCTTAAAGGAAAAGTTCCAGTTCCCCAACATAACAGACGTTCCACTGAACTCCTCTATCAGGGAGACTGTGTGCCAGCAGCCGAGGGCGGCCACAGGACCTGATGTCACTGCTGTTCCACTGTGACTTGAGCTCCAAGCTGTGGAGAACTTTCGACTCTACCAGTTGTGGGGAAATGAAATCATTTGAGTGAATGCACGTAGTTCTGGCGAAGTGTCTGGGAGGTACGGAGGTTGCCAGAGGCTGGTCACCACTGCGTACTCAGCTCAAGCAAGGCTATGACTTCAGTGTTTTTTGGACACTACTTAGCAAAACAGATAAGCTATTAGACAGCTGTTTTTCAGGCTTACATTTTTATCCATCATTTGTGAGGAAACACTCAAGGGAAGTTGCTGTTCCAGTGCTGTTCGGGCTTCCTTCCCCTGCAGGGAGTCAATGGGAACCACAGCTCTGCACTGGTGCCGGGCCCAGAGCACACTTCCGTCAATTAGGGATGTGAGTGTTAATGCACTGTGGCGCCTAGGCTACTTCTCTTGGAAGGAAGTCAGGCTTCAGCCCTGCACAACACTCTCCACGATTTCTGGGGAAGAAGTCTGGAGAGAAGCACGTCTGATTTGATTCTTGAGAGACGGGACCCGCTCACTCCTAGGTCAGCAGGAAGACCCTTGAAAATATTGTCACTCTGTGTGGCAACCTGGAGGGAAGACCGCAGGCTTTGCCTCCCGCCTCCTTGCTGGCCGCAGGAACTCTGTGGTTCTGAAAGCCTTTGGATATACCTTAGAGCCTCGGGCAACTTCCTGCTTTGATGCCCTGTGTTCATTGGTAACAACTACTTTTACATATTGTCCAAGATGAGTTCCCAAAGCTAAGTGGCAGATTCTGAGGCCAGTGCCACAAGCTCCTAAAAAGTTCATCT